GGGGGGGGGGGGGGTGTACTCATTTGGGATTTCGTGTGATGTCTTCAGACTTTTAAAGGTTTTCAGATTTGAAGAAATACTACAAAATTTTAAGTCTGAATGTCAGATTTGAAGTATGATTTCGTACATGGTTTTTTCTTTTGAAATTCTAACAATTCTTAAAAAATCTTAACAAATTTTAACATCAAATGAGTTAAATACCTCATGATTTTATAAGAATTTTAAAATTTCAAATGAATATATCAAGACTTTTTAAGGTCTTAAAAATTGTTAAAAAAATCTAAATAAATACACAAAGATTTCTAAAATCTTAAAAAAGCTTGAAAATCTTATATACACTACCTTAAAAATCTCAAATCTAGAAAATTTCAAAATGTCAATTGAAATTCCAAACTAATACACCACTATTATTCTATTAATTCATTTTTCTCAATTCTTACCCCTCTTTTTACTTGTTTCCCTATCACCTAATATGAGTGTGATTGAATATGAATTAGATTTATTTTTTTGTTAAGCATCTTAATTTTAAAAAATGCGGTATGGTTGTTAGTGGAAATTAAGTTTAAATCAAAATTATTATTAAATAAATTAATTAAAGTTGATTTGAAATAAAAATATGAGAGAGATGATTTGCAGTGATGATTAGTAAAATTATATGAGTGGACGAAGATCGATTAAAGTTGATATTATGTATAATAATAATTGGTTAATATTATTTAATTATATTGATAATATTGATGATATCAATTGATATTATGTATAATAATAATTGGTTAATATTATTTAATTATATTGATAATATTGATGATATCAATGTTAGGTGAAAGTTGGGTTTTAATTATTTTTTTCTTAATTTAAATTCATATCCATTCACACCCTAAAGATATGTTTGTAAAAGGATTAACTTAAAAAAAATAATCTCCCCACTCAAAAGTGGATTTACTCGATGTTAGGCTAATCTATGGTCAAACTCTCTTAACTTGTGTGTGGGCCCTAATGTCTGTTTTTTTGTGTGCGTGTCAAATACTATGTAATATTTTCTTGTGGGGCTCGCAAGTCAAAGACTGAGTACTTTTTTTTGTGCAGTGGGCCATTTCTTTTTTTTTTTTAATTTTTTTTTCTATTTCTGTTAAGTACTGTGGAATGGAAAGTTGGTTAAGAATAATAATAATAATAATAATAATAATATATAACCAAATTTATGTAATTTTTTTCTCTTATTTTTTTTTATCTATTTCTGTTATTTTT